GACTAAAATCTCCCGCACGTTCTAAATAAAAAAAGAAATTGGGGGTCTGCAGAATATGGCGTCCCGCCTTATAAAAATAAGGCTGCCATTTTTGTTTCTCTTTTGTCTGGAAATGTTTTAAGAAAACTGTCTGAGAATGTCTCGGTAGAAGCGGGAGGGGGGGAACAGTCCTCCCCAGTCAGTCCGAGTCCGGAGCTGCTCTCCGGGCGGACAGAATGTCCGAAAAGTCCGAGAAGGCAAAGTTTACTTTGGTTCAGTCGAGCTTTTAAAGCGACGGACGCTTTTTAGTTTCCACAGATTCAGACAATAGGAGCCGAGGACAGCTGCAAGCTAACGGCTACGGTTCCTTGAGTCTTTTTATAGGTGTCCACACATTCTCAGCTGACATTTAGATGCGGAGCTGTGCAAATGTAAATGTGCTGGTTTGGTTTTAAAAAGCCTGCAGGCCCAGCTCACACGCAGACATGTCCATGCTTATTACACAGTTGTACCTCTTTATTACCAGGTTATAAGTACTTTTTTTTTACATTGATGATATTTGCGCCAAAATAGCAGTGAATTAAGTAAATAAATCAGTAAATTCAATATTTATTAACTTATTTTTTTCCCCACATCCATCATCCAGGTCGTTTTCCTTTTCTATAGCCCCAATTTACAACACAGGTCATCTCAAGGCACTTTACAGTTCACCAGATCATCCAGTCAAATTGATTCAAAGTTTTCTATCTAAGGAAAGCCAGTTGATTGCATCAATTCATTGACTCAAAGTCAACCCCTCACACTAAGCATGCATCTAGTGACAGTGGAGAGCAAAAACTCCCTTTTAACAGGAAGAAACCTCCAGCAGAACCAGGCTCTGTGCGAGTGGCCATCTGCCGAGGCCGACTGGGGTTCATGGAGACAGAAGCAGACATACAAAAAGCAACCGTAAAAATCGGCCCTGTCCAGGAAACACACAGCCAGGCAGATGAATTCCGAGCCAACTCCTATGTCAGAGGATGAAGAGAGCACATCCAGCCAGTCACAGAAACAGGACTACACTGGAAAAACAGGCTGATCTCCAACATCTATAGACAAAGGTGTTGATGGCAGCAGCACAGCTGATATTTCTCTCCAGGGTGGTGTCACAGCCAAACAGGAACAGACGAGGCGAAGCTACTATGAGAAAAAGCAGAGAGAGCATAACATTAGAGTTAATCTAACAGATTCTGCAGAGTGGGAGAATAGAGATAGAATGAAGAAAACTGATGAAATAGGGGTCCCTATGTCCTCCAGCAGTCTAAGTCTTTAGCAGCATAACTATAGAGATAGCTCAGGGTAACCTGTGCCACTCTAACTATAACCTTTATCAAATAGGAAGGTTTTAAGCCTACCGTTAAAAGTAGAGAGGGTGTCTGCCTCATGGACTAAAACCGATATTTGGTTTCATAGGGGAAAAAAAGGAAAACACTGTTAATGTTCTAATCTATATACTGCTTTGCAAAAGTATTTGCACCCCTTAAATATTTTCACATTTTCCACAACCCTTAGTGCCCTCTGCATGATATATCGACACGGCACCTTTTAGTTGTTCTCCTACCTCATTACATCTTATTCGAATACCTGAATTAGGTCTTTGGGACAGATGACATGCTGAGGAGTTTCGTTCACAAAACAAGGTCAAATCAGAGGCAAATCTTTGTTAATTCTGTCAGATTGAAGTCTTGTTTTGTGGTTGCTGTGACACAGAAAACATTCAATGATTAGGTGTCATCCTTTTGATCTGAACCACTCTGTTGTACACTACCGTTCAAAAGTTTGGGGTCACATTGAAATGTCCTTATTTTTGAAGGAAAAGCACTGTATTTTTCAATGAAGATAACTTTAAACTAGTCTTAACTTTAAAGAATTCTAGCTGCAAATGTCTGGTTTTTGGTGCAATATCTGCACAGGTATATAGAGGCCCATTTCCAGCAACTATCACTCCAGTGTTCTAACGGTACAATGTGTTTGCTCATTGGTTCAGAAGGCTAATTGATGATTAGAAAACCCTTGTGCGATCATGTTCACACATCTGAAAACAGTTTAGCTTGTTACAGAATCTACAAAACGGACCTTCCTTTGAGCAGGTTGAGTTTCTGGAGCATCACATTTGTGGGGTCAATTAAAGGCTCAAAATGGCCAGCAAAAGAGAACTTTCATCTGAAACTCGTCAGTATATTCTTGCCTTTAGAAATGAATTCTATTCCATGCGAGAAATTGCTAAATAATTGAAGATTTCCTACAATGGTGTGCACTACTCCCTTTAGAGGACAGCACAAACAGGCTCTAACCAGAGTAGAAAAAGAAGTGGGAGGCCGCGTTGCACAACTGAGCAAGAAGATAAGTACATTAGAGTCTCTAGTTTGAGAAACAGACGCCTCACAGGTCCCCAACTGGCATCTTCATTAAATAGTACCCGCAAAACACCATGGTCAACATCTACAGTGAAGAGGCGGCTGCGGGATTTTGGGCTTCAGGGCAGAGTGGTAAAGAAAAAGCCATATCTGAGACTGGCCAATAAAAGAAAAAAATTTTTAATGTATTAAAAAATCTTTAAGTAACCTTTGGCTATCTGATTATTAAACGATTAATCGAAAAAATAATCCTTAGTTGCAGCCCTTTTAAAGTCCCTTGCATTCTTAGGTCTTCTTCCAGATTAGCGCTGTATTTAGCTACACCCGTCTCCCATCAACTGATTAGAAAGAAAGAAAACCCCTACAGCATAATGCTGCCACCACTGTGTTTCAGGGTGAAGATGGTGTGTTTAGAGTGATATATCATATAATTCTTACAAAACATATAAGTGGCCTTCATGACTTTTCCCTGATCTTCGCAGGGCAGCTTTTTTACACACGTTAGCTGTGTCTCCCTCATAGCTTTTAGCGAACCACAAAACTTTTGTTCCTGCTTTTTAATTAAGTTTCAGTTTTGGAGTGCACATATATTTTTGTCCCTGAGCTGTGGATCTCTGTAGCTCTTCCAGAGTGACTTGGTTAAAGCTTTGGTTATCGCTTTCTACTGTTCCAAAGCTTTTTTCCCCTCTGACCTATATGTCGATGTCCCTTAGTATTAATGGTGTTGTGTGTTAACTGACGTTCTGTTACTGAAAAAGTTCAAAAACTGAAAAAGCTCAAAATGTATGAATACAAAGCACTCAGTAAGATTTTACATATAATACAGTCATCCCTTATTTGTTGTATTTGATTTGATTGATCTTGGTTTTTGGGGATTTTTTTATTTTATTTTTTAAGAATAGGTCTGTAGTAAAACTTCATCAGGTTTTCTTTGATTTCACTCGTCCATTTCCAGAGGATAGTTTTCTGTTGCTGACAACCAACCCTGACCTATGAATCATCCAAACATGAAAGGGCATGGTCAGAATTACTGACACTTGACAGGTAACAGTCTAACACTGTTTTACAACTTTTTTTAGCTTGAGAAGAGAACTTTCATCTGAAACTCGACAGTCTATTCTTCTCTTAGAAATGAAGGCTATTCCCTAGGAGAAATTGCTAAGAAATTGAAGATTTCCTACAACGGTGTATACTACTACCTTCAGAAACAGGCTCTAACCAGAGTAGAAAAAGAAGTGGGAGGCCGCGTTGCACAACTGAGCAAGAAGATAAGTACATTAGAGTCTCTAGTTTGAGAAACAGACTCCTCACAGGTCCCCAACTGGCATCTTCATTAAATAGTACCCGCAAAACACCAGTGTCAACATCTACAGTGAAGAGGCGGCTGCGGGATTCAGGGCAGAGTGGCAAAGACACAGCCATATCTGAGACTGGCCAATAAAAGAAAAAGATTAAGATGGGCAAAATAACACAGACATTGGACAGAGGAAGACTGGAAAAAAGTGTTGTGGGCGGATGAATCCAAGTTTAAGGTGTTTGGATTACAAAGAAGAACGTTTGTGAGACACAGAACAAATGAAAAGATGGTGGAAGAATGCCTGATGCCATCTGTTAAGCATGGTGGAGGTAATGTGATGGTCTGGGGTTGCTTTGGTGCTGGTAAGGTGGGAGATTTATACAGGGTAAAAGGGATTCTGAATAAGGAAGGCTATCACTCCATTTTGCAACGCCATGCCATACCCAGTGGACAGCACTTGATTGGAGCCAATTTCATCCTAAAACACGACAATGACCCTAAACACACCTCCAAATTGTGCAGGAATTATTTAGAGCAGAAGCAGGCAGCTGGTGTTCTATCGGTAATGGAGTTGCCAGCGCAGTCACCGAATCTGAACCCTGTTGAGCTGTTGTGGGAGCAGCTTGACCGTATGGTACGCAAGAAGTGCCCCTCCAACCACGCTTCTGGAAGCGTGGGGTGCAATTTTTCCAGATTACCTCAACAAATTAACAGCTAGAATGCCAAAGGTCTGCAATGCTGTAATTGCTGCAAATGGAGAATTCTTTGACGAAAGCAAAGTTTGATGTAAAAAAAAAAATTATATCTTATTTCAAAAACAAATAATTATTTCTAACCTTGTCAATGTCTTGACTCTATTTCTATTAATTTCACAACGAATGGTGGTGAATAAGTGTGACTTTTCAGGAAAACACAAAATTGTTTGGGTGACCTTAAACTTTTGAACGGTAGTGTGTGTGTGTGTGTGTGTGTATATATATATATATATATATATATATATATATATAATTTTACCTGGATACAGGTAACGATGCCGTAGCCAGTATCAACTATTTACAGGTTAAATTTTAGATGTGCCACTTGCCCTTCTCACCTGCGGTAGTAGCTGGCAGTCAAGCTATGCAGAGCTCTGCTAATGAGCTGGTATTTCATTTAGGTGTTTTGAAGTAAAGTTGTTGTTAACAGCAGCAGAAAACTAAAGATCCTCTGGAGACTCTAATAAACTAACTGCTGTAATATAAAGTGAAAAGGCCCAAGCAGTCGTTTAAATGAGAAACTTCACCACATTGATGTTTGACCCACACATATACCGCACAAAAAGGAAGTGAGTTCTTTCATTCACTTTGGCCACTTCCTGATTTTCCTTTTTTTTTTTCATTTATATCTCTGAAGTCAAAACTAAGATGTTAAAAAAACATTATAATCAATCAACCATGTTCCAGTTTTAGGTGTGGAAACTAGAGGAATTTACCAAATCCTAAACTTTTACAGAACCAGGCTCAGTGTGAGAGGCCATCTGCCCAGTTGGCCTGGGCAGATGGCCGCTCACACTGAGCCTGCTTCTGCAGGTTTCCTCCTGTTAAAAGGGAGTTTTTCCTCTCCACTGTTGCTACAAGCATGTTTAGTGTGAGCGATTGCATCCGAGTCAATGAGTCGATGCCATCAACTGGTTTTGCTTAGATAGAAAACTTTGAATCAATGACTGTATGATCTGGTCTAACTGTAAAGTGCCTTGAGATGACGTGTTGTGAATTGGCGCTATATAAATAAACTGAATTGTACTGAATTGAACTTGACAACCAGGCCTGTTACTTTAGTAAACAAAAGCTAAGAAATATTGAGTTCTATTCTTATATACTCTCAGAAACTATAGGGAACATGTTTGCTATTGTAGGTTTTACACTTATTAAAGGTATAGTTGAAGATTTTCGCTATTTTTTTAAAGGACACGCCCTCTCCACTCTCCACAAAAATGCACATGCACAACTCTGTACCTGCTGCCGAGAGGTAACGCCTATTAAAGGCGTGCGAGAGCATGCACAAGCCCATTTCTCCTCGTGCAAGCTCTGTTTAAAACTTGCTGTTTGCATCGCTCATACAAGATTACTTTCCACAAGAGGATTTGCAATTTTTCCGCTATGTCAGACTCACCACCGGTATGTCTAAATGGGGACGAGCACGTAGAGCGGCCTTACGTAAACATATCACCAGAATGATTGACAGTTAGGACGACCACTTATTTTGATGATCCACCCTGGATGAAACTCCACTATATCTTTAATGCAGGTGAATGATATAATTACACAAAATCTAATAGAATTCCATATAAACTATTGCAGCACTGTCTCCATGGCATCCTGGATTTTGGAACATGGGTTGGTGAAAAAAAGTTCCTATTTAGCTGCACTTTGTCTTTATACCTGCCCTACACCCCAATCCTAAACTGCGAGCTTGAATTTTTTTTGTTCAAACATGCAGTATGAATAGATATTGAAAATATTGAAAGTATTTATTAGGGACAATACACAGTAATAAGAAAAAGTTAAATTCCCATTAGGTGTCAGTTACAACCAAAAGCTATACCACCACCGTTCTAATGGGTTAAGTTTGTTCTTTAAGAGACAACCAAGATAACACTTTTTGACTCATATAAATGTTTTAGTAGCAACAAGGTGATTTTCAAAGAGTTGTTTGCTGAATATCTGTCATACAGCAGATGATTGAAAGAATGATGCATTTCTCTGCTCTTCATTTTATAGCCCGTAAGAAAGTGTTGCTTCTTAATAATGTTTTAAAATACTGCAGGAAAATCTGGCTGATCACATCGAAAGTATAAAAAATTTGTGTCATTGCTCTTTCCTTTTTTCCAACAAAGGAAAGGAAATTCTGGGTTTTGATTTTGCTGTTTTTTAGATCTGGACAAGTGTGGAAGTGTATCTAATATTTTAGCTATTTGGAACGTTCTTCTTAAAAGTATTTAAAGCAAATAAAAACAATTAATATCATTCAGCACAGAGACGTACAGTCAAGGAAAAAAAGCAGACCACCCTTGTTTTCTTTTATTTTTCATTGCATTGCTTGGGTAATATACCCATTGGAACTACACATTAAAAGAAAATTATTTGTTCAAATAATTTTTTCCATGATTACATGTATCTTGTATGAAATGGAAGATTAAAGATAACTGTGTTTCTGTTGCATTTGTTTAGTTGATTAATGTCGTCGTTTTTGTTTTTTCTTAATTTTTACTTTTTTTGCTCACTAATTACCACTTTTTTGATCATGGCTGCAACGTGTCTTACTTGTTTCAGGATGGCAGAGCCTCGGTTTAACAACCCTTATTTCTGGCCCCCGCCCCCCTCCATGCCCGGCCAGGTATGTCCACCCACAACACATAAGATCGACAGAGTTTCCACCATAAATGCCAGATCTGTGTCCATGTGTGAATGTCTTTTCCAGCCTTCACCAATAAACAAATCACAGGTTGCTGTAGTAGCTACATTAGAAACGAAGCCCTTTGGTTAATGTGTTGTTTTTTGGTGAGGGTCTCAATCGACATTCATACACGGCGGCTGTTTTCTGTTGAGCATGACCCGTTAACCCTTTCAGCTGGATAACCTGGTCCTCATTAACAAGATAAAGGAGCAGCTGATGGCGGAGAAGATTAGACCTCTGCACCTGCCGCCCACCTCCACCCCCTCTCAGCAGCCTCTGCTGGCCCCCACCTCGTCCCCAGACGGTGGCGGTCCACACGGGATGCCAGGGCCAAAACCTCAGCAGCAGCAGGTGCCGGGCCACCACTCGCAGCAGCAGGGCTCCGGGCAGCCGGACATCGCTCTGCATGCTCGTCCTACCTCCAGCTCCGGATTAGGTATTGTTTTCCGTTTTTTTTTAAATGACCAGTGGCTGTTGGTCAGTGTCAGCTGATAGGTCTAAATGAAAATAAAAGGGCCCCCTTTCAGAAAGTGGTACAATTATTCTGAGTAGAGCGTAGTTATTCTGAGTCGACCTATTCAGCTCTGCGACATTCGGGACTTTTGCTCTCAGAACAGGTGCTATCAATAAGCTAAGTTGATTCTGAGTTAAATCAGCCCTTAGTTCAGGGTAAGAACAAGCATAATAAGAAGCCCTTAATAGTGGAACCCTGAAAACACGATCCACCGTGGAAAGTAGCAGCCTCGAATTGAGCATTTCTGGCCAATGGAACTTAAAAAAAAAACCTGACAGCGTAATGAGATTACCAAAAGATATTTCACACAAAAAGGCAACATTGCTCCTGCTGCAAAATAAGGAGATATTGGCAGTGGCAGAAACCAGACAACGCATGAGGGAGATTTAATGGAGAATTAATGTTACATTCTATACACGATTTTAACATGAAAAACATTATGCGAAATGTTGAACTTTTACCAACAGAATTACACAACATTTGTTGTATTTACCAGTGCACTTAATCTTATATAAGTATGTTAACTTAGTGACTTGACATGAAAAAGAGCAGAGATGCAGCTGAAATGAATGTTTTTCTGTGCCTAAAGCTCCCCTGTGAAATAGCTCTACAAGACGACATAGAAACAATTTAACAAATAGTTATGTTTGATAGCAAAAGCTGGGACTGTTTGCAGACTAATGCTGCTGAAATTTATCTTAACTTTCAGATGGAAATCTGGATGACAAGTCATCGGTAAAGGCCAAAGGATTATGGGAGGACTGGCATATGAGACAACTTAGTGAGCAATCCGCCCGGGTCAACCATCGTTCAGGTGCTACAGCCACTACAGTCCAGCACCATGTTTCACATCCATTGGAAAGTGCTAATGCAGTTCTGGCTCTCACCTCCTCAGGTCTGGCTCCCTCATCTCGACCCGACAACCACAGCACCTCAGAGGCCCTGACCCCCACCACTCCAACTTCAAGCAGCCAGAACCGTTTGGGTGGTGCTCCCTCTGTCAACATCATTTCTGGGCTAGCTAGTGGTCCTGGCATGGACCATATGAAGAGTGGAGGTCTAGCAGGACTCCTGGGCCCCCCACCAAAGGCGACGAGAGGAAGAAAGAAGATTAAAGCTGAAAACGCATCTGGTCCTCTGCTGGTAGTGCCCTACCCAATCCTGGCTGACCAAGGCTGCGTCACCGTGGCGCCTAAAGAGGGCAAAACCTACAGGTTAGACAACTACAGTAAAGCTGTTCTTCTTTGGAAGCAGGTCTTTTTCTACTGATCCTACATAAATAAACTATAGGTATGAATGAAGGGAGAAGCTGCTGTAGAACTTCTCTACTGTGTGTTTAGATGTGTTAAAAAGAGGTAATTATGGATGAAACTAGATCTAACCCATCCTATAATACTCCTTTAAGGTTGAAGCCACAATTTATGAATTTAGGTTTCAACAAATCCTGTCATTAAATACAGAATGAATGTGAAACATCTCAGACTCTGTGTTAGGCTTAGTCATAATAACACTTGCACCACAGTGTTAGGTTTAGTTTCCTTATGTCTGACACCTTTTTTTTTTTTTCTATACATCTTACTGTTAAGGTGCAAAGTTTGCCCGCTCACCTTTTTGACCAAGTCAGAGATGCAGATTCATTCCAAGTCCCACACAGAGGCCAAACCACATAAGTGTCCCCACTGCTCCAAGACGTTCGCCAACGCCTCCTACCTGTCCCAGCACCTGCGCATCCACCTCGGGATCAAACCCTATCACTGCTCCTACTGCGAGAACTCTTTCCGCCAGCTGTCGCACCTGCAGCAGCACACCAGGTTTGCATCAACGCCAGAGGAAAAAAACCCTGCAGACATTGTCTAGAAATGTTTTTACACATGACAAATATTTGTGTCATTTTCCATAAATTTAAAGTAGGGCTGCAAAAAAAACAATTATTTTGCTAATTCATTAATCAGATTATTTTCTTTTTTGATTAAACTGTAAATAATTGAATAGCAAACAAAAGCCTTAAGGAAGCTTTTAAAGCACTTGAAGCTAAAACTATGCCGCTTGAGGAGTTCTGGGCAGAGCATACTCAGACAAAAAAAAAGGTTTTTACAGCAGTGCTGCTGTGCAATACTTTAAGCCTTTGTAAGCCAATATTGGATGTGGTGATGCTAAAAAGCTTTAATGTTTACTGACTTCAGAAACATAATTCCACAGCAGATAATAGGACTGTTACCTATAATAACTTCTCCAAATCACATTTAAAAAGATCAAAACCATCCCTGGTATAACCTCAGGAGTGTCAGTGGCTTTTTTCCCCCACACTGATTTGTATTAAATCAATGCATTTAACTGCCTATAGTGAGAATCTGAGGTTCTACAGTATAAAGTCTGTTGCTAATTAAATTTGGTCTATTTAAAAGCATTTTAATGAAACTTTTTTTTGTCTAAGACATGCCTTTCCTTCAAATATATTAAAATAGATTGGTTATGATCATCACCCTTTAGCAGTTAGAACTGACCTGGACTGGGAATGGCTGTCTCTGATGGTTTAGCTGCAATCACCACAATCTTACAATGTTTTATGCATTTCATTTGTTACAGAATCCACACTGGTGATCGGCCTTATAAATGTGCTCATCCTGGATGTGAAAAGGCTTTCACTCAGTTGTCTAACCTCCAGGTGAGTCTTTCTGTTCACAGTGCAGAGGGGGAGTAAAAATATATATATATGCAAAGTGTGCCTAGATTACATAATGTAAAATAATTAGTTCCAAGCATTGAAAGTAAAATATTGATCGGAACTGATTTAAATGTATCCAGATGCAAAGAAACAATGCGATAGCCCTTTGCCTCCTGCGCAGTCAGGAGCGAGCTTTAGTGCCGTTTAGTTTCATGATCTGTGGGGAGAAAAGAAACAGCAAATAAAACCTAGTAAACTATTCTATCAATTCTATTTTCATTCACAAAAACCTACAACTGAATTTCCACAGAGAGTTACATTTTTTTGTTCTGCAAAGTTCACGGAGGAAATGCTCTGCTAAAGTTTCTATAGTAGATTGAAAGACATTTAATTGATTAAAGATTAAAACAAAGCTGATGACTTTTGTACACTGCCGCCATGGGAAATATGTAATCACACTAAATAGATTTTGTAATTTTCTTACCTGTTTGGACAATTTGATATTTAACTTCAATATGAGCCTTTATAAGCCTGGAGACTCAAAAAAATATAAACACATTAATAAAACCTGGAGGGAATTAACCTTTGAAGAAAGCAGTAAAATTTAATTAATTTATACCTTAAATGGCTAAAATCCTTTGATATTGCATGCATATGGTGAGAACATTGTTGCTCTGCATTTTGAAGGCTGTTTGTCCCATTTCAGACTCTGTTAGTTTGATGTGCTCCTGACTGTTGAAGGAAGAATCAGCACCATAGTAAGAACTAAAAGAACCGTCTGAAGGCTTTTAAAAGAGAACTGGAAAACTTAATGGCTTTGGTGAGGGATTTAAAGAGTTAACTGGAGGTCTTCTAATCTAAAAAATAATAAAAAAAAAAAAAGGAAGACTTTTAAAGTGACTCTCAACATGCCCAAGCCTGCCATTAAAGAAGTCTCTTGGCTGTGTCCGAACATCTGCCCTAACCCCTAAATCCATCAATCACTATATAGAGCAGGGACTATATAGTGGACTTAATAGTGAACACAGTTAACTGACTGACGGACAGATGAGCACTTCTTTTTAGCTCCCCGTTAATCACGTAACTCTGCATCAACTGTGCGGTGCCTGCGCCATCTTTGTCATGAGTCGCCGCTCTGTTTCCTCTCTGTGCGAAGCATCCCGGATATATCTGCTCGTCTAGTGAGTTTGGATGATCACTACTTTTCCAGGTGAATTCTGAGAAATTTCGAGTCCACTACTTTTTAAAAGAAAATAAAGAAAGTCATCAACCAGTAAAGGTCCAGAGACATTTTAAATTATAATCCGTTACTTTAAACAGAACTTAACACTGAAATAAAATGCAGGTGAATTAGAGAACAACAATATTTTATTTTGGTATACAGACAATTTCCTGACTCACTTTTTTTTTTTATAAACACCTGAACTGAGGGTTTTTTTTTTTTTTTTTTTTTTTTTTTTTATGGCTAAATTTTGAGCCTGGATTGATATTTATTTTTTAATATATTCATTATGGAGAATCCTGCCTTACAGCAGTAGGTTGACATACTCTAAATGTGCAGGGTTGTCTTTGAACTCACCATTGGCTATACCATACAAACACGAGAAGCGGCGCAAGTCAGGTTTAGACACTGTCGTTGAACAACACGCAGTCATTTATAAATGTTTTATATCAGGTTGGGTCTGGATTTGCCAGCAGGTGGTCCGCTAATCAGCGACCTCTGCACTAGACATTCAGAAACTCGTTTAAAATGGCATAACCAATATATAGTGCCCTATATAGTGATTAGGGCAGACTAATCAGTAGCACTAAAAAGTAGCACTGGTTACGCAGCAGGCTGTCTCTGCTAATTTTGTGAAAGTTAATATCTGAGACCTTTATGGAAGGTGTGCGAGAGGAAACGCTTTATCTTTAAGAAAAACTTACAAGGCAGAATAAAGTTGTCAAAAAGAACAGAAATGCAGTTCTTCAGGTTTGGAAGCATTTTTTAAATGATGATTATAAACTGAGGACTACAACAGAGAACATGTCTGTTAAACCATACAGCATTCTAGGAGGGGAGCCTCATATGGTTTGTGACCTGACCAACTTTTTATTACTGAATGTACTGTTACAAGGAGAAAAATGCGAGCCCATTCCTTTAAAAAAAAAATAAGATATAAAGTAGAACTGGATCCAGCCATTTGCCATGACCCAAAATTTACACGCAAGCCTACCTTGGACTGGCTGGGAATTAAGAACTGAAAAGTCAGTTAGAGATCTGGGTCAGATCAGCGTCGCTGAGGTGCTTCGGAGTGACTCAACACAGGCTGTGGGCAGGAAACCCCTCACATATGTGAAAGTGAGGAGTGGGACAAACTTTTCTCAGAGCAAAGCCACAGAACAGTAGATGATTACAAGGACTTTTTTACTGTAGTTGTTTCAAGCTGAGGTGATAGCACTAGCTATTGTCGGGGTTTAGCTCACCTTTAGAATTTTGTTTGATGTAGTTTAGTGGTTAAAATTATTATTTTTTTAATCAAATTAAGTAAAATCAGCACGTCATTAAAGGATTAATATATGAATAAGATGGTTAGACATTTAAAACTTTCTTAATTTGTGTGATAGCTGGTTATATATGATGTATAACTACATGTATTTATTCTTCCTATACTCTTACAGCGGACTGTTCTTTAAGTTTCTCTGTTTCTCTCCCCCTGACAGTCTCACCAGAGGCAGCACAATAAAGACAAGCCCTACAAATGTCCTAACTGCTACCGTGCCTACTCAGACTCTGCATCGTTGCAGATCCACTTGTCAGCGCATGCCATCAAAAACACTAAGGCCTACTGCTGCAGCATGTGCGGCCGGGCATACACCTCAGTAAGTGGAAGGAAAAAAAAGAAAAGAAAAGCCACAACATGATCTTCGCTTGCTTGCATGTGTGTTTACAAAGCTTAATTGCTGATAAGATTGTGACATTTGATGATGTTCTGCCTTCCTCTGGCAAAAAGAAGTCACGCTTCCTGTGCGTGATATTTAAAAATCTGGTTTGCTGAAACGTGCAGGGAGGGGGATGTTTTGCACCACGCCATTTTGGAGCACAGGGAACTTCCAAGTAATCCCTTTCTCTTACAAATAGAGCTGCATTTACAAAGCAGGAGATAATGGCTCAACTGGGTGCTATTTAAGCGTTTTATTCCAGTATAAGAAGGTGTCAACATGATCACCTACTCTGGTAACAGAGAGCATCTGCAAAAGGGTATTGGAGCCAATTGTGATGTCTGGGGATAAAAAGAATAGCAGAGTCAGCAGGTGAAAATCTTGCATAACATCTAGAAGTCAACAGTTTAGCTAACAATGAAAACTTGACTCTTTGTTTTACTTTGAATCCAGCTCCAAAATAAAGAAATACATTTTAAATAATGTACTTTTATTAAATGTTCAATGTGTAAAAACCTTTTTCTTTCTTTGACCTTTACAGGAGACCTACCTTATGAAGCACATGTCCAAACACACAGTCGTGGAGCACCTAGTGAGCCACCAATCGCCACAGAGGACCGAATCCCCCAGCATCCCCATTCGGATCTCCCTCATCTGAGCCCCCCCTCCCCACTCAAGCGTCCAGCAGCAAGATTTATCAGTTTGGCTTCATCCAGATCTCCTGAAGCCCTGCACCCAGGTTCCTCTACATAAGGCTTACATAAGGGTGGTGACAGCTGACCCCAAGCATTCAGTGTTAAAATTCAGTAAATGCATTTTATTTTTCAAAGAGCACAGCGTTGTTTTCTGAATGTAACGATACGGCTTGATGTTAATCTGGCGGTGGGGGCAGCAAAGAATGTCTTGAGTCAGATTCAGTAAGCACTTTGGTAAGCATCATGTAAACCGTTGGATGCATCGGCAGTTAGATATATTTTAAATACCTGTTGTTTTTTTTTCCTTCACTTTAGATTATTTTGTCCCCCCTTTTTACATCAAATGGGTTTTCAAAACTTGTCAGGTGATGTTTGGCCTTTTAAAGTTCTCTGAGAGGGTGTGGGAAAAAAAAAAAAAGAATTTAGGTATGTTTGGAAAACATCCAAAGATTATCTTAAAGCACTTTTTTTGGCGCTGTGGTTCTGGCTTAAATTGTTTTAATCAAGTTGGTGAGCAAATGCCAAAAAGGGGGGCATTACTTTAGGCAGCTAAGAGCAGAAATTATTATTCTGTGCTGCTTTCTTCATTTCTCAGCACAAATAGTATTCCTAAAGCAGATGACAGGCAATCGGTCGAGGACAATTCAAATATGTTCAGATTGTTCTCATCAGAATATTTTGCAAGGTGGAAAGATAGATTATGTTCTTGTTTTAATTTTCTCCATAATCACTTTAGCTGCACCTTTAATTCAATGACAATTTATCACAAACCCCTTTAATCCTACCCCCTCACCCTTTTTTTGATGTTCATTCAAGTGATCAGTGCCATACCCGAACCTCTGACAATTGAAGAGGAATCAAATCTTTTGCAGTTCCTGATTTTAAAAGCTTTGATGGTTCATTTTGAAGGTTTAGACGTTAGAGCGTAACTACATGTCTTTTTAAATAAGCTCAAATTCCAGCTAAAATAGTTTTTTTAATAAGTGGGTAATTTTAAATCAAACCACTGGACCAAAATGTGAAGTTTATGTACAGCTATTCTCACCTAGCCAACACATTTTTTGTTGTAGCTTTTTTTTCTCCCCCCTCTAAAATAAGCTTTATTCATCTTGAAGAAACTGCAGTACAAGTCCTACTCAGTAGGACTATGAGTGTATGCTGAGGTAAATCCTCTGCTTTTTTTTTTTCTTCTCTACTTTTAGTATTATTTTTACTGTAAACAGTATTGTTTGTTGTATTTTTACTGTAACCTCCGAATGGTACTCATAGGGTTCCCTGTGTTCTTCAGGGTATTGCAATTAAAAAAAAAAAAAAAGGAAAAAAAAAAACAGGTGCTACGGCTAGACTTTAGCTCCGAGATTGAACTGAGAAAAATGTAAAATACATATACAGTATATAGTATGTTTTCAAAAAGCATAAGTACCTATTACCCAAGCCACTGGCCTGAAAAAACGGACATTTACGCCAACAACAGACCCTGCCTCTTCAACGTACTCTCTCTTTTTTTGTTGAAATAATGGAAAAATGTACATGTTGATGTACTGTAAGACATGTTACTCATTTATAGTCCCTACTCTCTGGTTTCCATCAATATCTTCTGTTTGGAATTTGTAAAAGCTCACCTATGAATTAACTGTGATTATTTTAGTCTACCTGTATGTTAATCATCTTTTATATCAGTTCTATACATGTAAGCCTTAACTGTTTATCATCCCAAATACATTACTCTGTATTGTGTTCAACAGTATTCAGTCGTGTAAGCATTTTATTCTCATTTCTGTTTTGTTTGTTTTTTTATTCCGCATGGAGTTCTTGAGCTGTAATCTGTATAACTGTTTAACCCATGTTCTCTATGAAAAAGATATTCCGTAGATTTATTACACTTTTCCCTGTCTTGCATTGTGGTTTCATATAGTTTCAAGGCGACTTAATATGCACCACCAAGACTGAGGAGTAACTAAGGTTATCAATGTTGAAAAAAAAAACAAAAAAAAAGAAGCTTTGTATCTTTTCCTTGTTTAATAAACAGACTGTTATAAATTATTTCACTCTTCATGATTTGAGCTTGTTGAGCTAAGAAAGAAACTTTTCTTTGAATCTTTACTTTAGGAAAATATATTTGTTTAATGTTCTGAAACAGAATTCAAAGTTCTTAACAGACACAAACATTGTTTAGGCAAACCGAAAACAACCAATTATCTGTTGCTAAACAAGAACTAATACAAAAATAGTGGCTAAAATTTAGAGAATATACAAAAAAACAGACGTGATATGCATTCATGTTTGACTCTATTAAATATAGCAAGTATAAAAGTCTAAAGTGCAGCTGCCCTTTTTAAAGGCTTTAAGATTATATCGGCCATTTTTATTGACATTCGTGTTAAAGATGTGAAGGAAATTCAGCTTTAAATAAAATCTGTATTGCAGATCTGTCATAACGTTCCATGTTTTTAGCCAAATTTCCACAGGCACAAATATTTAATGACAATGAAGCCCATCGCTAGTAACCACTGGACTTCATGAGGATCTAGAAATTACAATAAGGGTAAAAAAAAAAAAATCTTTAAAGCTCATAAGGGTGGCTTCAGAGGGTCACCCATGATCCATACTAACTATTAGATGCCATTTATATGCAAACCTAATATCTAGGAAAGAATCAAAAAATTGTGTGTTCTCGCTGATCTTTAAGCATTAAAAAGCAAAACAAAGCATGAGTATATTGACCCCCCCCCTTATATTCAGATTAAATTATAGCCATTGAAAGGCATCTACAAACCTTGATAATTCTCATGAGCATCCTAAAGCAGCTACACCAGAAATGCATATACTGTATTGTCATTACATGTATGCATGGAATGACAAATAAACAATATGTCCTTTGTTTAGAGTTCTGGCAAAACCTAATGGAAAGATATTTTCAAAATCCAAAACCTTTTTTCTTTCCATGCGTACATAGATACATCTAAGTTTTTTGTTCTAAATAAGCCGTTATCATTTTGAGAGGATAATTTTTTTAAGTAAAGTTTAAAGTTAATTTATATTTAACTTTTTCGTCTGTGGATAATATTCCTTCGTTGAATTTGTACAGTTAAAACTACATAGAAAATGTAAATGATACTGTTCGGTGCATCTTTTAGTTTTAAAGCTTGCGTCAATTTATTATTTTGGGGGGAGGCAATATCAATGTCTTTCATGGGGCCCCAAATTCCTGACGTTGCAAGCTGGTTTCACCAAACACAGAATCTTCCTAATCTAATTCTCCTCTCACTTCTCATATCTTAATTTTACTGAAGAACTCTGGGTCACTTACAGGGAAACTGCAATTAACAAGAACGCCACCTTAGAAATGTGGGAAAATATGGCCAAATATGGGTTTACTGGCTACAAGGGCTTTCAATGGTACAGCAAGGACAGCAACGATGGCATCATTGCTGATTTTGTTATAAACGTTCATCTTTTTATAAAAATTTGGATTTCTTTCTAAAATTTCATCCATCCATCCATTTTCTTCCGCTTTATCTGGGTCGTGGAGGCTGCAGTCTAAGCATAGATGCCCAGACTTCCGGATCCACACACACCACCTCCTAAAATTTCCTGTCAGATTATGCTGCTCAAACACTTTTAAAGGAATAGTACACCCAAAACATGATTAGCCTTCATTTTCTACTCACCCCCATGCTGAACAACACTCTGGAGTACTTTTTTGATATCTCAAATGCATCTGGAGATCTGGGAGGCTTCTTGCTGTCTGCTGACATTCAAATAATGGAGGTCTATGGTGCCCGAGGCAGAGAGGTCCATAAAAGTCCACAAAAAACGTGTCAATATTCCTCCATACTGGTCGTCCAACGTATTCCAAGTGTCCTGAGTGGGTAGCATCCAGAATTTACTCGAAACGAAGTCATTTAGAATGTTTTTAGAGCATAAACAGTAGTGTATAGGATTTCCTGAAAGCGCGCACCTGCGCGTTCACGACGCTACGGAAGCCGGCAGACCAAACCAGATGAAAGTGCGCATTCAGCGTCTGCTCTGCCAATAATGCAAGCGTAGAAGAAGAAATGTGCTGTTTACCTGTGCAAAGAAAGAAACAACGAAAGAAAAATGTCTGAGGACTTCAGTGTTGAGGAAGAGCATGAGTTCTTTGCCGAGCTGAATGCGCACTTTCATCTGGTTTGGTCTGCCGCGGTTTCCGTAACGTCGTGAACGCGCTTTCAGGAAATCCTATACACTACTGTTTATGCTCTAAAAACATTCTAAATGACTTCGTTTCGAGTAAATTCTGGATGCTACCCACTCAGGACACTTGGAATACATTGGACGAGCAGTATGGAGGAATATTGACACGTTTTTTGTGGACTTTTATGGACCTTTCTGCCTCGGGCGCTGGGCACCTCCATTATTTGAATGTCAGCAGACAGCAAGAAGCCTCCCAGATCTCCAGATACATTTGAGATATCAAAAAAGTACTCCAGAGTGTTGTTCAGCATGGGGGTGAGTAGAAAATGAAGGCTAATCATGTTTTGGGTGTACTATTCCTTTAAGGTATTTCTCAGATCTTTCTGTGTTAATGAACTCAGGCGTTACTGTACATCCTGGGAAAGGCAGTACAATTTCCTCTGGAGGTAGTTCAGTATACATGAGCCTGATTCTGACACATCCTCACTAAACACTAGTAACCTAATGAGACTGGAATGACAGGATAAAATAAATTACAGTTTCGTCACTGGCAGAAAACTGGGTATAAGTATTATAAAAAATTATTAAAATCTTGTGTACATTTTCCTGTTAAGGATAAACAGATCTTAATAAAACCTAAGTTTAGCAATCCTAAAATCTCTAATAATCTCAGATTAAAGACGACATCCACATCTAAAGCCTATAACCATTTCTGGTTTGTCTTGATATGGGTAAGATAAGACCTAAATACCAATGACGTTTCATTACTTCAACACATAGCTAAGCATGTAAAATGAATATTACAGATCGGGCTCTGCTCCTTGTGCCTGTGCTGCACGGTTCCCTGACCACTGGAGAAAATTAGGAACAAGCAAAAGAATTAAACGGGGAAAAAAAACAAAACAAAACAATCCCAAAGTACCACCACATACAGTAACATCCTATAAGAAAGAACTGACACACACAACATTTAAGGCATCATAAGGCATCGAAACATCACAATCAAAGCAGCAAAAACCCATCATCATACTTATGTTTGCACGGCAATGCAACAACTTCTCTAATGTAAACATCATCTCTGTAAAAAAAAAGTGCTTATACTCAATATATAATAAAAATGTTATAAAAATGGATTTCACATTAACAGCACTGGTGGAAAGTCAGTTTCATAAGTTTATGTTATATAACAGACAGTATTAATCCTTTATATGGGCCTGGGGAAGTTAGAC